CAGGATATGGCAATATATTGGGTTGGCCAGGATGAAATTTGTGGCTCAATAATCTTGCCAAACTTAACGGGGGCTCGGTTATGGCTGTCGTCGCTAATTTTGGCGTGTTTATGACTGCCGACGTCGTGTAACGAACTCACAGCCGCCATCAATGTGTACAATTTTTATCAAATATGTTCAAAGAGCGGGAGGGGGGGGATAAAGTAAAACAACAGCAGCATTACGCAACGCACATCCTTGAACCAATTATCAAATATAATGACTATACCTGTTTCAATTGAAGTCAATACGCTTGCCTTCTGGTGGAATTTTTTTTTCAATAGGCCGACTCAAGCAGGGGATGTTGCTCCTACGCATGTAATAGGGCTCGTAATCTGAAAGATGTGAGGAAATAGATAGGAAAGCGACCGTATGGTTGTATGCCTAATCGGTAAATGTTACGCCTTTAATGACTAAGCACTCGCTCTAAATATGACCAAGAGAGACCATATGACCATATGAGATTCGAACACGCGAACACTGACTTAATAGTTGCGATTATTATTTTAAACTCTTTCGGGTTTTTTTTTTTTTTTTTTTTTTTTTTTTTTTTTTTTTTTTTTTTTTAATTTGTTATATGGAGTACTTTTTCTATTATTAATATTTATAATTGCGAAAAAAAATTTTATCTCTTTCTTGCATAAACATAGAAAGCTGTTTATTTAAAACTATTAAATATATTGCCGCGTAGACGTAGCATGGAAATGGCATCTATTCATAATAGCCTGGCAGCGAACGTGTTGCACTATCCGGCCTTTCTGCCAGTTGTAGTTGATCAAAAAAAAAAAAAAAAAAATTAACCTTTCAAACATTTGATGAGACTTGTAATTGACTTGAAACGAGTACGTATGCCTGTGTTCCCTTAGCGTTCACTAACCACCTTACATGATGCATGATAAAAAATCCAATTTATTCATTCGCAGATAGCAGCAGCATCTTGTGCGTCGCTCGACTCTCTTTCATTTGCATTAAGTTATAAGGTAAACGGTGATGGTGAACTCTGAACGCATAGAAGATGTCACGAGTAGATCCTCCGCTTGTTATTAATTTAGCAGAATCGGCAACTTTTTAATATCCTGGGCGTAAGAATACAAAATTTCCCTTGAACAGAGGGCCTAGGTTTTTCGAAGCCGTAACATGGGAATCACCTATATGCGTCCAAATGTAGAGTACCGTTCGCATGCGTGAGAGGGGGCCTCTAAATTTTGCAGGCGGCGATGGATTGTCCAAAGCTCTCTGGATACTCTTGACCGTCGGCGTAATGTAGGTGTGGGCATTTACATACAGGGCGGGCGTCGTAAAAGATCAGTCCAACAATCAAGTCAAGGTTTTCTCTTTTTCTCGCTTTCGACTGTCTCAGCCTTTCCTTTCACACAAGGGGTTTGGGAAAACTTTTTCCCACCGTCCTCCTCCTGACTGCCCCATTGAGTGATTGATTTCACTAAAGAATTCTTTTCAAATTCACATCTTGGTCTCTCTACAAATAAAGTGAGACAAATGCTTGGTCTTATTAAAAGTTGGGAGCGCAGGGGGCGAAAGGAAAGAATACAAAAATCCTTAGTGAGTAATTAGATCAATGGTAGGGAATAATATGTCTTTGTTAGGTCATCTCTTCTCGTATCTTTGAATCTTGCTCTTTGCTCAATCGCTGCTCCCATTGCGACGCAAAGCAAATAGGTTCTTGTACTTATATGTGACTGGACGGACCTTCGCTACAGAAAAGTGGATTCCTTTTTAGCCAATTTGTAGGGTAAGTAAGTTAATAAATGGCAATACGAGTATTGAGGTGAACCTCAACTTTCTTAACTCTTGTCTTAAGTATGTGAATTTTTCGTAGAACTTGGCAGCTTGGTTCAGTCCATCTTTTTTTTGCAAAAATCTAAACGATATATCTTTATATCAAATTAATTCTCTTTTCCGTCTTGCCGATGTCGTACTAAAATGAATTTTTATTCTCTGATGCTTGTTATGATTCATTATCGAACTTTAATTTTTTTTTTTTTTTTTTTTTCCTGCTATCGATTGCCTGTGTTCGCATGTTTACGTCGATTCAGCGATACGCTCCCAGCTTCAAATCTCGTTGGCAGCGTCTAAATATTGTTAAAGGTTTTGGTTACATTTTTTTCCGTTTTCTCCCCTCCTCTGTTTCTTCGACAATCTGCTTCTTCTTCTGTTTCATGCATTTTTCGTTTCCAACTTTTTGTTACTGGGAAAATTGGGATAATATCGGCCCATAATTAACGAAAAACTGTCGCTGTAAAACATTGATTCCTCAGAATCGCCTCGAAGATGAATTAATTTTTAACGAAAAAAGTTTGTTTTCCTTCTCCCCATCAATTACTGAAAAATCATAATAAGCTAAGAGTCTTGCAGCAATTTTTGTCATTGTCGGCCAATGCAGATTATTAGCTTTGTGTGAGCAGAGCATTGGCTAGAGCATTGGATAGAGCACACACAGCTATTTCAGATGAGGAGACCAACCGCAGTGTGTGGGTTTTTTTTTTTTTTTTTTTTTTTTTTTGTCACACAGCGGTAAACTTGGTAACCTTGACCTTAACTCTCTCGCACAATATTTGTTACTCTTTCTACAGTATATATATATATATATATATGTGTATTATTTTTTTTTTGCTTTTCTCCTTTTAGAAATAATTATTTTTTTTCATTTTCTGTTTTTCATGTATTTTGGTTATGGTTTGTTTGCGGTTACATCATGAAATCATTTGTTTTTGTAAATATGAGAAATAAATGCAGCGACAACAATAGCAATAACTTTGAATTATTATTATTATTATTGTTATTATAATTTATTTTTTTTTTTTTTCGTTCGTGATGTTGATCAATTGTTGCATTGTTGTTTAAAATTAAAATTTCAATTTTCCATTTTGCTCTTTGGTGATATAATTTAAACTCATAATTACTTTTCAACAACAACAGCCAGCGCTAAGCGGTAGTGGGTTGAACTATAATTCTAATTGAATGCTTAGCGAAAAAAAAACGAAAAAAAAAAAAAAATGAAAACAAAAATTAAAATAAGAAAAATTTTCGCTTGACTTTGAACGACATTTGCAGTGGCGTATATATATATATGCTCGGCGATATGCTCGGCATCCATACTCCCTGCTATTCCCAAATTCAAGCCCTCGTCATTATAAAAACTTGTATATGTGTTGTGTGCAATAAACGTACATTTTAACTGCATTATTAAACACAACGACATTAGGTATTATTTTTAAGTAATTTTTGATGCGGTGTAGTGCTGTTGATTGGCATGAGTGAGTGGCTGGCGTATATGAATTATTGTTCATTTTATTATTGTTATTGTTATTGCTTTTTTTGTTTTATTTTTTGTTTTTTTTTTTTAATACAAATCTTTTTCTTTTATTTACAAAAGTAATAGTAATAGAAATGTAAAGCAAAGTAAAAATAAAAAGAGAAAAAAATTAATTAAAACAGTTAACATTTGACTTTTAAGAGCCTCGAGTAGTGCGGTAATGCAATTTAAATTAAAGAGCAATTGAATTAGTTCAGCTAATTGAAACGGAGATTTAAAAATTTTAATTATATTCGCAATCATTATTTAAATTTACAATTCTTGTTTATTTTATATTCTGATCATTGTACTTTAGTTAGGGCAACGGACTGCAAATGAGTCAGTTTGTCTTTATTAAAAAAATAATTAAATAATTTAACAAAGTAGCAAAAGCACATTAAATAGCTTATAGGCATTATATAAGAACGACTCCGACCCGAAACATTGTCATTAGTATTTATCCGTGGCCAAAAGCAGGCCGCCGGTGTACGAAATGTCAGCAAAATGTGAAAAAAAATTACGGCCCACACATTGAACACAAAAAAGCGGACGGACAGACAAGCTTAAATCGATTGAGAAGATGATTCTGAATCGATGAATAATTTTCTCAATACAATAAAAAAAAGTGGGTATATTTTGAAAACCTTCTGGGTGTTGCTGAACATCCATCCGAATATACTCAATATATCCTTGCATAATACTACTACTACTACTACTACTAGTGGTTTAGGGTATAATAATGATTTTGCCTCGTCTTTTTTTTATTTATTTATTTCAATTTAATTTCGTACTTATTTGTTTCATTTATTTAATTCTTTTAAAATTAAATTGAATTAAGTTTAAGACCTTATATTCATTGTTATATTTAATTAGTCATTGGTTTTATTTTAATCATGAACTAATTGATTAACATGAATAATTTTCTTAGTAATTAATTAATCATTGTATTTTTTTTTTTTTAATTATTATTTGATTTGTATAATTATTGATAACTAAAAATATTAAAATGAAAAAGAAGCTATTGAATTATTCCTGCTAAAATTGAGGGCTATGAATTAAATATAATTTTGTTAAATTACAATTGGAATGATTTTGAAAATTCTTATTTATGAAATAAATTATAATTAAATTTAAAAAATTTTTCTTTTATTATGTATAAGAATATTTTCTTTATTTTTTTCTTCTTTCGTATTGATTTTTAAATTTAATATAATGCAATCTATTAATCAATGATATTAATAATTAATTAAAATTAATTGAATTAATTAATTATTTAATTAGTTATTAATTAATCAAATCAAGCAATTAATCATTAAATTAATTAATAATTAATTTAAATTATTAATAATCTTTTTGATTATTGTGATTTTATTATTCACATATACAGAAAATATTTTTACCTTAATTAACATTATTATTTATTTATTTATTTATTTTTTTAAATTATTATTTAATTAAATATTAAATCATGATGTAACATATTAATTGATTTTAATGGATTAATTAATTTTAATTAAATATTTTATAATTTATTTGAAAACTAATTAAATTAAATTAAATTTTATTAATTATTATTATAATTTATTTTCGTGCTTACACCAATCTTCTTCAACACTAACTACTCTAATCCTCGTATCTATTCGGGAAGATTATAAAAAACAAAAAGAGGACGAAGAACAAGCACAAAAAATATACGTGGCTGAACAACTATTAAAATTGAAAAAGGAGGCAAAATCACCGGACAGCCCAGATGATTTGCAAGAACAAGAACGCCGACTAATACAAGAATGTTCATTAACACCTGCAAGCGAAACAATGATATCGGCTGATGGTGATCAGATAACGGTACATCATCCGCAAGAGCTTACGAAAAAATCGAAAATAAAATTACGGGATTTCTTTGTGAACGAATTCGGTATTTAGATACTTTTTTTCTTCTAAAATTTCCAAAACCAAAAAATAAAAAAAAAAAAAACCAATTTACAGTCCACAGTCTTTTTTGCTTCCTTTATCCGTACTGCTATAATATAATATTTATATGTAATGTGTGTATTAGCACCATTTTAGCAACATTTGTGTGTCCCTGTAAATGTTTAGAGTCACTGCAGAAAGGTTTCCATTACTAATACTGTACAAATGTAAAAAAAACCGCTGAAGCAATTTGAAAATCTTTCGAATGCAATTGTGTACACGTGGCTTCCACATTGCTTTATATCCATCACCAATAGACGGGGATAGTTGATATATAAAATTGCATTACTTGCATAGAAGGAGCGAAGGTCTATGAGCGCGCAAATCGAAGACGATCTAATCGGCTATGTACTTTTGTCCGTCCGTTAATCTCTTGTTGCAGAGGTAGAAATTTGACAGTGGATAAATTTTATATTTTTTGGACAGTAGTCATCCATTCATTTCGTCAATAAGTTTGACTTGGCTGCTAAAAAGACCTAAGCTTGGCAAGAAATCACGCTGGCCTATAGGCGAGTACATGGGTAAGAGGTGCGATTGTCAAGCTGATGTTCACAGGCTCAAAATTTAGCGCGGTTTCACCGTACTTGGCGGTAGCTATAGGTGACTGCTCAGTCGGTAGAACCGTTATACTTGTCGATAGGATTACTCTCTACCTTCTTTCTCACTTCATTCGGATCATCAACGTATCACACATGTAAAAAACATTCTCTGCGTAGTTATATTTAAAAAAAAAAAAAAAAAAAACAACAAAACTGGTTTCGTAATAAATCCCAACATTTTATGAATGATAAGCAGATATCGATCCGTCCCTTACTACCTAGCTACCGTTTACTATTGTGTTCATGCGGCAGTTGTTATGCCGTTACGTTAAAAGAAAACTACAAAATGTGCGCACACTTTAGGAACGTGTTCATTGAGGCCCGTAATCTAGATTAAGTTCAATTATGTACGGAATATTAAAAAAAAAAAAAAAACAAAACAGGGCTGTCTGCAAGTCCGTTTAGAAGGAAGCAGTTCTGCTTGCTCTTTGGAAGATTAAAACATGGCATAAAGCAAATGTAAAGATGTACTAATGCGCCTGGAAAGGACCGAGTGCCGTGAGCGCAAGTGCTTATTGCTTGGTGTATTGACAACATCAAGCTGTTTATTGACATCGATCGGCATTTGATATCTGCGCAAAGAGGATATGAGCATTAGCCGCTACGGAAGGTAGCAAGCTTCTCTTGCTGGCATAGACATAAGCTTAAAATTTAAACGGATCTATATTAAGCCATTAAGAGAGTCATGTTAAACGAATTTCTCAAAAAATCTCACAAACGAGACATGTATTTATATTAATTAATTAAAGTTTGGTATGAAAGAATGTTTGCACTATGTCAAATATGAGATGGATAATGCAAAAGTTGACTGAATTAAGTGCTGCACGAATCCTTGATCAATAGAGTCTTTCCAACGATGTGTAGATCATATTCAATTTTGCTCGGCGGACGCAGTATGTACGATTGCAATGATAACGAAACATCTTCTAACGTCTAAGCATTGCTTCCGTAGTAGTGTGTATATCATGTTAAGTAGGATAACTTTCAAAGTCTTGTAAAAAATTTCTCAGAGCAAAACTCAATGTATAACTGCGTGGCGTTAGAAATTGTTATTGATCAAGGATTCATGCAAGGCTTTATTTCGTTTTTTATTTCGTACGAACATTTTTGCATTCCAAAGTTTAACTAATTAATATAAAGACATGTCTTAAGACATGGTTAACAGGACTCCGTTAACGGCTTCACAGGGCTCCGTTAACAATTTTGGCTTTGATCATTTCATGATTTATTTCTTGACGAATTTATACAGTGTTACTACAGAATTTTGTCCGTACGTCCAGTTCGTTGTGATGATGTGATGGATATTTAGTATTCGCTTTAGGGTGAATATTGTTTTTTCTTACACGTCTTCTTTTCATCTTCTTTCTCTCTTTCTTTTCTTTTTTTTTTAAATTTATTTTCATTCTAATATGTTTTTTTTTTTTTTTTCTAATTTGTTGTCCCTTTTAAATAATACGTAGTGCTAACAACCCGATCCGATCTGATCCGTTCCTTGTTCATAGTGATTTTCATATAATTGAAACTTTTAATTATAATATTTTATATACTTATTTATTATTTTTTTTCTTTGTTTTTTGTCATTTATTTTGTGAAAATGTTTTATTGTTGCATATCTTCTAAATATATCTTAAACTTCATATAAAAGCACTTTGTGTGAAAAACAAATAATTACTGACACGCGATCTATACAGCACGAGAATAAAATGTTTTCTTCTTCTTTTACTCTACTGTCAAAGACAATTTGAGAATTGTGTGTAAATAGTACGTGCGTTTATACATGCGATCGCAAATCCTAGTGGTAACCGACGGTTGAGAGGTTAAAGTATTACATTTCAAAACACGTAGTTTTGGGCATTGTTCGATAATAATTTTGCATTCATTTCAATTTAATAAACATCTTGATAATGTATTCATATATATGTAACAGTGTTGTTTAGATAGATGTTAGGAAAGTTAGAAAAGTTACCTATCGTACCTCTCATATTATATATGTGACCTTTAATAAGCAAAAGTTAGCGACTTTTGTTAGTCATGACCTTTCTAGGTTATTTTGCGGTTTACATAGGCTTAAAAAAAATCTCGATAACGCAGAAAAAAAAAAAAATAAATAAATAAAATAAAAAAGGAAAGTGGTGCGTGCACCATGGCATTAGTGTTAATCGAATAGTTGCTTAAGGAAATGAATTTATTTTCTTTTTTTTATATTTTATTTCGTTGGTTGTTGTTCGTGTTCAATCATTATTTATATACTTGATATTTTTTCTATTGCTTTTCAATGATTTTCTAATATTTAAATAATTGATTGCTTTCGATTGAATTCGGTTGAGAGATGTCGTCGCCTAACACATCAGTAAGTTTTAGATTTCAATCTTTATTGGAACGAACGGGATATATTAGTTTTTTCAATTACGTATACGAATCTTGTTTGACTTAAACGGCATGAATCCGTCCATCTGTCATACTGTGGATTTTTGTAATTCTCAAAATAATAGAAATTTACAAAAAAAAAAAAAAAAAAAAAAAAAAAAAAAAAAAAAAAAAAAAAAAACTGAAAATTAACCTAGAAAACTGAAAATGTTAAAATTGATTTTCAGGTTCAGGGGGCAATATTCGCATTTACAATCTCGGGATAGGCGCTTATTGATCATCAATCGTAACAAATTAATCCTCTGTCTTCCTTAAATGAGGTTAGGCATCCAGGTTCCTTTTTTTCGTTTGGCTTTATCCGAAATACAGTATACATGTATGCGTTGTTGCTGTCAACTAGTGGCACTACGACATCAAAATCACTTTCGCATTACTTCGGGGTGGGCATTTATGGGAAGTTGATTCCAACTATAAAAATTTGTGTTTCTCGCTCTCGAGTGATATTAAAAGATATCGGATGTCGCCTTGGTGTGATTTTATTTCACCGTAAGTCGGCCAAAAATTCAAAAGTTTTCACGGCGTAATTTCAAGTTTCGATGCTTTGGAAAGCATGCTTCTCAAAGATGCCCAAGCCGGACAGATAATATCAATATGCTCCGCATCACTATTTATGTTTTTATAAATGCGATGCGCGTTGTGTAGATTCAGGTTGAAATGGCAAAAGTCATTTGAGAAGGTTCTACGAGCCAGGCAAAGCTTGGGCTAAAGAGAAATTCCCTTCTCCGTATCTTCTCTGCGCCCACTTTCGGTACTTGAAACATTTTTCCGGCCATCCTACCAGTGTCGCTTCATATTTTTCTACAGCCACCTACTTATCCGTACGTAGACTTTTATTTGTAATGCTCTCTATTAGGATTCTCGACATTTATTTTACTAACAAGGCCATCCTAATGCAAGTGCACTGATCATGTTTTCGTCTTTTGCGATTTTTCTAGCTGGTCTTGAGTAAATGTCCGCCTGTAACCGAGACGTTACTTTTTTACTGATTGGTAGTTAGGAAATTCAAGGCATAGGCTTCATCATTCATTCGCATATGAAGAAGAGTTTTATATAAAATTCATATTCTCAAGATCATGTCTCCTCGATATGTTTGCGATATTATTGCCCATTCTTTTCTAAAGTTAAACTGAATGATTTGTTTTCCAATAACCTCTTTATGTATAACATGGAGAGCATTTAAAAGTTTATAATGAATAAGATGATTGCGTTTTTCGATTAAACTTCGAATAACGAAAAAAGGGCTTGAAAGAGAGAGAGAGAGAAAAAGAGAGTGTTGAAAAAATCCTAATTTGTTCATTTCGTTTCAAATGGTGTTACTACGATTGTTCAAGATTTTTCATTGATTATTTTATTCCAAGAGTAATCCTCTTTGCTATTCTATTCAATTCTTATTTAAATAATTTCCATGAAATAATTGGTTTTGTCGGAGTTCAAGCGATTGAAAAATATTTTAATACATTTTCTGTGACCTATTTTTTGCCTGGCTTTGTTTAAATTAAATTGAAGCATACTTTTGGGCTCATACAAAATGTTATCACATTCTTTATAAAACAGGCTTTTTTTTTTGCCCAAAATAACGTTCTCACTACAAATAATCAGAGGATTACGTTTGCCTGTGGCTTTTATTTATACGCATTACAGCGTTTTTGAAATGTTTATGTGACTGTAATACATTTATATATATATATATATATATATACGCTGTTTTTCGTATTGCTTCCGTTGTAAATTTGCTTAACTCTCACAATCTCAACAAAGTGTGTTGTAAGTGTATTCAAATACATCTAATACAATTACGTTATAATTTAAAGTTTTTATTTTTCTCATTTTTTTTTTTTATTATTTTTTTTATTTATTTTTTTTTATTATATTCAGTGGGGTTACAAAAAACATTTTATTATTCTCTGTGTTTTAAGTA